AACTGAAGTATATTGGCTGTGGAGGGGGCATCTTCTGCTATAAGAGCAGACATTCCTACAAGAAAAATCCAGACACAACTGATCAAGCAGTACAACTGCCTTGGCACAGGGAGCTCAGAGGGCCCTGAAAGGGATCCTGAACTGGGGGAGTACCAAAGAGGAGACCTTTCATACTAGCTTAATGGAGAACAGAGAAAGGAACTTCAGGGCAGAAAGAATAATAGGTGCACAAGCCTGGGACTCTGCAGCGGGCAGCATGTTTCTCTGCCCACTTTAATAGCAGTGTAGGGCTGAGGGTGTAACTCTATGGTAGAGCACATGCCTAGCATGTGTGAAGTCCAGCACTGACAAGAAAAAAAGCCCAGAGCTGCCTGGATCTCAATGCCCCTATTCCTAATCATCCTTATATACTGTTGGCTGTGTGGTGACACGCAGTTAGCTCATAGTCTTGTCAGTTATACCTACAAGGCCCTCTTATGCAGTGGATTGAGAAGTTTTCAAAAGCCTGAAGACAGGGGGACAACAAGCCTTTTTAATCTTTTGACTTATATTTATTTCAAGTAACATTAAAGAGCACACACAGCTGGGTGTGGTGGCACACACCTGTAACCCCAGCACTTGGGAGGCTGAGGCAGGAGGATTGCCGGGAGTTTGAGGAAAGCCTGAACTACACAGCGAGACCCTGTCTCAAAAACAGCAAACCAAAACAAACCAAAACAAACCAAAACAAACCAAACCAAACCACCAGTACATATAGAGGGAGAGGCAATAAGCTGGGCATGGTAGTACAAATTTATAGGCCCAGCACTGGGGAGGCTGAGGTAGGAGAATAGCAAGTGCAAGGCCAGCCTGGGCTCTGCAGTGGGTTCAAGGCCAGCCTAAACTGCACAGTGAGTACTTGTTTCAAAAAAAAAAAAAAAAAAAAGCCCTGCAAAAAATTCCAGCTCATTTTACAGATGAAGAAAAGCAAGTACCCTCTGAGGGGAAAAGGCTTTGATACAAGTAGAACTTCCTCTTCGCCTTGGAAATTGCTGGTTTCAATTCATTTGGGTAAGAGTTCTCTCACGAGTGCAAGGGAAAACAAGCAGGAAAGCAGAGAGGACAAGCCTGGGAGAAGGGCAGAAATCGAGGAGGGCGTAATCAGAGGATGCAGAATCAGCCAGGGGAGAGCAATGGGCAGAAGAGCTGAGAGAAAATCAAAAAGCTGAAGAGCAGAGAGAAACATGCATTTTTTCCTGAATAAGTGCCAGCCGACACTGTCTCGTTCCTGTGGCTGGTGTGGCACCTTCCCTCAGTGTGGCCTCGCGGTCCCGCTGAGTGGGGGGCAGGGTGGCCATCGCCGCCCACCTCCCGCTTCCCTGAACTAGTATCTGCTAAGAGCCATTAGCGCAGGAAACCGTTACGCCAATGAGCCCATTTCAGGCAATGGCCCTCCCGATGGAGAGAGCAAAACCGAGTCGCGGGGAGGGGTGCGCCATGGAGGGGGTCTCAGTAAGGGCATAGGTTCGGGACCTGCCCTGCTGGGCTGCTGAGCAAGCGCCCACTGTTAGCACCTCGGTGTCAGCAGGGCCTGTTTCTTTGGGGCAGGTTTGCCGCCTTCACTGGGCTTTGCAGTCTTCAGAGGAAGGGATTGTTGTTTCCTGCGGTTTGGGGAAGCTCACAGCGCCGCGTCTGACATAGTCTGTGCGTAACTGGTAGGTGAATGAATAGATTTCCACTTCATTAGCAGAGAAATCAGGTTGAGAGTGCACGGATTGAATCCATCAGGCTAAATCAGTGGCAGAGCCCAAGCCTCTGGATCAGGAGGACGTCAGACCTGGGGGCTCCATGCAGATGCCCCTAGAACCCACTTTTCCTCTGGAGAAGGCTTATGGATGTGGTGGCAGGAATCCCAAGAGGCCTTTGATGCCACCTCAAAAGTGGGCTTAAAAGGAGCCCTGGGCCCTTTGACCCTCCTTATTCTCTCAGTCACTCCCGACTGGGGACAGAGGTAAGAGCCTGGCGGGCACCCTGACTCTTTCCGCCCCTGCGACTGTGGGCCACTCCCCAGCAGCCAGTCATGTTCTGCACATCCACCCATCGCTTCACTGCTGGCCAGTGCTGGCTGTGGAGACAGCTTGCCTTCTCCTTCCCAGCCCTTCCTCTGCCCGCCCTGCCGCATGCTCTCCCTTCCCGTCTCCTCCCCTCACTCACTCCTCTCTTTCCAGCCCTGCTCTTCCCTCCCCAAACTGAAGGGCAACGGTGTAGTAAAACAAATCGCTGTCAACAAAAGTACATTTCCACTGTATCCATCCCCGCAGGGAAGATTTATCAGGGGCTCTCACCCTGCACTGTTATGTAAATGCGGTAATCCAGTGGAAATATGATGTCTAAGAAGTCTGAGGATAGTCACCATAAAAGCTATCAATTACCCCCTGGTGCTTGGGTTTGGTTAACTCACTCCCTGCCTTGCCTGCCCCACCCCGGGGTGACAGCTTACAGAAAATGCATCCTACCTTCTTGGGTCCTAGGAAGTCATCTGGAGGATCAAATGTTTGTAAAGTGCTTGAGAAATTATAAAGTGCTACCTAATTTAAGAATCTTATTATTTCTATTGTTGTGTAGGCCATCTCTGTGACTCTTTGGTTTAACAGACATCAGCTGCCTTCAAACCTGAGCTAACCCCACCCTGCCCTGTGTACAGCTCTCTAACCCCACCCTGCGGCGTGTATAGCTCTCTATTGGTTGCCAGTTCCTGTAAGCAATGCCTGATTTTTTCCTTCTTTCTAGTTAGCCCCTGGGCTCCCAGAAACATATTGATGTTTGTTTGTACCGGAACTTTATTTTCATTTATTTGTTTTTTTCACAGTACTGACTATTGATCTTGAGGGCATTCACACTGAACTATGTCCCTGACCCTTTTTTATTATCATTATTATCATTATTATCATTATTATTATTTTTATTTTGAGACAGGTCTCGCCTTTCTAACTTGCCTAGACTGGGCTTGAACTCTTGATCCTCCTGCCTCAGCGTCCTGGGGTGCTGAAATTACAGCTATGTGTCTGGCTTATACTGGAAGTTTAATATGAAGGTAAGTTGTTGAGGGGAACAAGAATTCTCAGAGTAGCCCTCCACATTCCCAGCCCACTGGGGTGGAGAGTGGGGCAGTCCTCAAGAGCAATGGGGAACCAGAAGGTAGGCTAGGGTTGAAGTCTCTAGGCCCATAACTCGTAGGGCAGCTGTACCAAGGACCTGAGGATTGCAGGTATTGCCCTTGATTATTCCAGGGTTGGGCTCAAAGGGGCCTACATCAGCCTGAGTTCCCAACACAGGCAGAAAAGCCTGGCAGCTAACAGTTCAGGATGAGAATTCTGGATTTCAGCCCCAGCTCTGCTCACTTTTCTCGCTTGCAAAATATCTGTGCTAATACTGTTTCATGGAGCTTTTGTAAAGAAGAAATGAGATTAAGCGTGTGAAGAGCTTAGCATAGAGGAAAACAATTTTTGTTGTTTTAGGTTTCAGTCGGAGAGCCTTCCAGATCATGAGCCTCGTCTTGAGGAGGCAGCACTTGCCTGGTCACAGCCCTCAGGAAAGGGCTTCTAGGCCCGCCTTGTGCCTGTGTCTCTTGGGATGGGGCTGTTTCCAGCCAGCGGTCCCTGTGAGCTGGAGCTGAGGGACCGGAGGAGGCAATAGAAAGGCAAGAAGAGTTCTGGGGGAAGTGGGTGTCTCTTACGTGGAAATGTCAAGAGTCGGAGCTGGAGGAGAGGGAGGCGGCGGGGGCGGAGGGAGGAGGGAAGAGTATAGGATGTCTCTGAACTGCCAGAATCCGGATAGGGCTGCAGCTCTGGGGCCCTAGTACTTCCTGCCACCCCCAGTCTTCAGAATGAGTCACTAGAGGGAGGAATGACGGAGGCGTCATGCTCTACCCACAGAGCGTCAGCTTCTGTTCCCCAAAAGAAGACTGGTGGGAGGGAGAAGGGGGTCCAGAGCTTAGGGGCCTGGGAACAGCCAGGCCCCAGGGAGTGAGGAGGAGCTCCTAAGGCCCGCTCACTTACTGCACTCCGGGAGGCAGGCCCTGCCTTCCGCTGCTTGTGCCAGCTCAGCGCCCACCATGACTATGGACATTCAGCCCCCAGCTGTTCTTGTGACTTCTGCTCTGCCTGCCCGGTTTTCACCAGGAAGGGTCTTTCTATCCTTCTAGTTGCCCACAGTAGGGGAGGGAACAACAGTCCACCCCTAGCTGGGCGTGGTGATGCACATCCGTAATTCCAGTACTCAGGAGGCTGAGGTAAGGAGGAGCTCCATGAGTTCAAGATCAGCCTGAACTACACATCAAGACCTTGGCTCAGAACAGACAAACAAACGAACAAAGCAGTCCACTTTTCCCTTTTCTACCTAGCCAACTTTTATTTTATTTATTTATTTATTTTTGTCTTTTTGAGACAGGGTCTCGCTATGCAGTTCAGGCTGGCCTTGAGCTCACTTTGTAGCCCAGGCTGGTCTTGAACTATCAACGATCCTCCTGCCTCAGCCTCCAGAGTGCTGGGATTACAGGTGTGCACCACCATACCTGGCAGTCTCACACGCATAGTCTTTTGTATATTCCCTAGAACCCAGTCAAGTCTTAGGTCATAAATATAAGGATGTGGCCTGTTTTTTCTTCCTTCCTCCTTCAGTAACTGCTATCCCCTCACCCTTCTTTATTGTTTCTATTTACTGAACACCTTCTATGTGCCAAGCATCTTATGCATTAATTTATTTACTCCTCCAGTGCCCATTTTATAGATGAGAAAACTGAGCTAAGAGAGGTTAAATAACTTGTCTAAGGTCAGACTCAGCAGATGGCAGAATAAGATTTGTTAATAAAACCTTTACTGTTTTTGTTGTTGCTTTAAGAATCTTTTATTTATAGTATTAGAGATGGGGTCTTGCTATGTGTATTAATCAGGGTTCTCTATATACAGATTCAATATAAAATATATGTGTGATTACACAAGGTGTTTGTTAGGTAGACTTACAGGGCCAGAGGTAGAGGAGTCCCAGTGGCCATCTATGCAGTGCAGAGCTGGAGGATCCAGGTGCAGTGAAGGGCAGAGGCCTGGAAGCTGACTGCAGAGCGATGGGTGGTCTGAAGGCTGAAGAAGGCCAGGAGGAAGGCTGAAGGAATGGAGCACCAGCTCCAGAGGCAATGGCGAAGACAAGAGCACCTCTAAAAGAGGGACACACTTCTTTCCTTTTTTATTCCACTCAAGCTACCAGCCTATTGGTTGGAGCCATCTACATCTGGGGGTGGGTCTTACCCCCTCAGTTTTCTGGCCTATATGTCAAGCATCCACAGACACACCCAGAATTTACTGATCTGCTAGGTGGTTCTTTTTTGTTGTTGTTTGGCTTTTTGAGACAGGGCCTTGATATGTAATTCAGGCTTGAATTTACTAAAGTAGCCCAGGCTGGGCTCAAACTCATGGTGATCCTCCTGCCTCAGCCTCCTGAATGCTGGGATTATAGGTACGCACCACCACACCCAGTGCTAGGTGGGTTCTTATTCAAATCAAATTGTCAAGTCACAGTTAACAATCACACTAGGTTTCTGGGATTGACCTTGAACTCTTGATTCTTCTTTCTCAGCCTCTTGAGTAGCTAGGACCACGGGCATTAGGACCCATGCCCAGCTTCTACTATTATCTTTAAATGTAGTAATTAGATCTCTTAGTTTTTTTGTACATAACGTTTAGTGAATTTGTACATAACGTTTAGTGAATTTGTGGGTCGCCTCCTGCTTTATTGAGGTATAATTTATATACTGCGTTAACTTTTCACTGTGATGACAAGTACCTGGGATGGTCAGTTTAACGGAAGAAAGGCTTATTTTGGCTCATGGTTTCAGAGGTTTCAGTCCATGGCCTTTGGCTCCATTGTTCTGGGCTGTTGTGAGGCAGAACATCATGGTAGAGAGGGCATAAAAGAAGAAAGCGGTTCACCTCATGTCGAGTGTGAGGTAGAGAAAGAATCAGAGAGGAAGAGGCTGGGGATGACATATAGTCCCTAAGGTCCCTCCCCATGACCACTTCCTTCAACAAAGCCTCACCTCTGAATAGCCCACTCAGCTATGAACTCATTGGCAGATGGGTCCATTCAAAGGGTAGCACTGTTATGATCCAGTCACTTTCCAGAAGCCCCAGCTCTGAGTGTTGCTGCATTAGGGACCAAGCCTTCAACACAATGAGCCTTCCGGGGAGACACTGTAAATCTAAACCCTAACACATATCATATAATTCAGCCACTTAAAGTATACAAATTAAGGGCTTTTAGAAGGGCAGGGAGGCATAATCACCCATGTTGAGCAAACAGAAGTGAATTCAGGTGTAGGGAGGTTCTGGAGGAATCAAGAGGTAGAATCTTGGGAAAACTGAATTTTTCCTTATGATATACACCCTGTTAACTCTAGTGGCAGGCAATATGTGAGTAGATTGCTTGGCTCGTTCCCTCCCCAAATTATTCCCCTTTCTTCCCTAACATCTCTTCCAAATACCTGGTGTATCAGTCAGGGTTCACTAGAGGAACAGATATAATACAAGATAAACAAATGTACAAGGAATTACAAGTTTGGCTTACAATGGTCATCTACAGAGTTGGATGAGGAAGCGTGCAGAGGGTGTCTGCACGCTGGAGGTTGAAGAGCCCAGCCCCGGGCCTGGAGCTCACTGCAGTGTCCGTGCAAGTCCGTATCAAAAGGCTGATGAGTCTGCGACGGAATGCTGAAGAATCTACGATGAAGGCCGGAGAGCCAACACCAGAAGGCTGATGAGTCTGCGACGGAATGCCAACAGTCTGCACCAGAAGCCAGGAGACGACCAAGCTGAAGGTGCAAACCGGAGCTCCTCTGAAGCAACCCCAGCCAGTCCTGCCTCAATTCCTTTTATTATGCAGTCTACCCACTCTGAGGTGGTGGGGGTGGTCCTCCACACCCACACCCTCTGCATGCCTGCCTCTTGCATGGGCTCAGGATGAATACAAATTAAGCACCCTGGACCCCTTCTGAATTGCATAGTTAACCTTCTAAACTTCTCAAATTAACACAATAAACAACATCCCAGAAGGGTAAGGGCGTGTCCTTTTCACCCCAAGAGGCAGAACTGCTGAGTCGCTTAGCCAAACCTCTAGACTCCCAAGTTGGCACAATGTATCAACCATAACACCTGGTGGTTACGGGGATGCCTTATATGCCTAGATGTGTGGGTTGAAAGCTTTGCTGAAAAGTCCCAGGTTTCAGCAATAGAAGAAATGATTTCACTCCCACCCCCTTCTTTGCGTTGGGAAGTGTTACAGCCACTTCTTGGAGAGTGTCAGCAAAACCAGCTTCTGTTCTAGGGGAGGGTATGTGTACCTGGGTCTCCCAGGATGCTCTGGGGTGTGCAGGGTGGGACTGGGGCTGTGACTTTTTTTTACATCTTTACTATCTAGTGAATTCAGCTGGGCTCAAAGTGTTTGCTCTAATCTGTGCCTTCTTTACCTCAACCAGACCATCTTTGTGGCTAAAAGCTGGTAAGGATGGCGGGAATGAGGCTATGAGAGGTGGGAGTTCAGGCAGAAGAAGTAAGCTTAACTCCCTGCTAGTGGAGAGAGAAAGCATGATTGAAATTGCTCATTTAGCAAACGATTTAGCCAGCTGTAGAAAATCCTATTAAATAACAATTCTTATCTGAGTCCCTCACTCCTGGGAAGAGCAGCTCTGGGCATTGTGAAGACCAGGGCAGTCTCGCCTGGATCTGGTCAAACAATCATCACCAATAAAAGCTAAAACCCAGACACAAGCAAACTTTACTAGGTCTCCCTGCCTTTCTCTACCCCTTAATTCTGGTCCCTCATATCATCTGTCAATTATCTGGTTAGTTGAGCCTTTTCTCTGCCCATTGTAATATAAATAGTGAGCATTTTATGGGTCCCCATTAAGCAATGTGATCAGCATCAATTACCTAATGGGACTCTGGGAAGTCATGATTTAAAATTCTGTCCTCAGTTGTGATTGGGCTTTGTCTGGAGCCAAAATGAGAATTGCATTGATATCTAAATAAATTGTTTCAGGTGTGGGGCCTCTGCTCCCAGCCTGAGTTTGACTCTAGGGGAAATTCACCCTCTGTCAAGAAAGCCTATCTGTGCTTGGCTCTGAAAGGGAGAGTTTTCTATGTCCTGGGAAGGCTTAGGGGGCTATGGGTGGATCTGCCCAGGTCTGCCCTGTAACCTCTGTACCTCTGGGCATGGGAGAAACAAGGTGAGCCCAGAAAACAGGGCAGGGACACTGGAGATGATCAGCTCCCTGTGGAGAGAGAGCTTTATTTCTTCTGTCCTCTGCTGTTTCTGTGGTACTTATAGACTTTCTGGCACATAGTAGCCCCTCCGTTAATACCTCATGAAGGAAGAAACAGAAGTTCAGGCTAGTCCCTTCAGCCAGCAGACTCTCCTCTTTGAAAGTCCCCTTCTCCCAGTAGAGGCCTAGTAAGTTTTAGGGAAAATAAATGCTGGAGACTAAAGGGTAGGTTTTTTTTTTTTTTTTTTAAAGATCTGAGGTGAGTTTAGGAGCAGTTCCCTGGAAGATAACGAGAGGTTTTGTGTTAGATGATGACACTTTGAGTTTAAAAATTCATTAAGGGCCCTGTTGGGGCTGATACCATGAGACACAAGATCTGATATGATGATCTGGACAGTTTCAGTGTCTTCCTCCCCATACCCTGTCTCCCAGCAGCTAGGGGAAGGCTTAGATTCTGGCTTTTTCCAGAGCAGCACAGGTGGTCCCTTTTCTTCCTCATTTTTCTTAGCTCCTCCCTTGGGTAAGAGGCAACTTGAAGCCACTTCCTGAATCTATTTGTCAGTCTTCTCTTGTTTATCCAGGGTGTCAGCTGCTTTTGACCTAGTTGATCAGACCCTTCCTTTTTAAAGTACTGGCTCTTTTGGCTTCCTGAGTATTGGTACTTTTTTTGGTTTCCCTATTTTTTATGCCCTTTTTATGTTTGGGTACCTAGGGATTTGGCCTTCTCTGTGCATTCATTTCCAAGTGACTTTCTTTAGCATCCATCTTTAAATACTTTGTAGACTGACAGTTCCTAATTTGTATCTCAAACTCGGCTGTCTCTCCTAAGTTACAAACTCAGGTATCGAATGCCTACCCAACACCTCCATTTCTGTTCTAATAGCAATTTCAAACTTTATGTGGCCCAATGAAATTTCTTGGTTGTGGTTTTGGTTTTAGTTTTTTTTAGGTGACAGGGTCTTGCTGTGTTGAATAGGCTGGCCTTGGACTCCCAGGTTCAGGTGATCCTCCTGCCACAACCTCCCAAGCAGCTGAGACTACAGGCACATGCCACCAGGCCTGTCTTAAAAAGAGAATTCTTGATCCTTTCCCCTCCTTGACCACCATTCTCCGCATCCTCTTAGGACTCAATTCTCTCCAAGTAGCATCTCCATTCACCTTTTTGCTCAAGTCTAATATTTAGGGACTATTCTTGACAAGTTCCTTTCCCTCAGTTCCCGTATTTAATCAATCAGCAAGTTCTATAAATTATATCTTGAAAATATATTCAGCATCTGGCTGCTTCACGCTGTTTTTGTCATTACCATCCTGATCCAAGCCATCATCTGCTTTCACCTAGTTCACTGCAGTATTTTCCTGACCGGCCTCTCTGCTTCCACCTCTGCTCCTTACCTTGCAGCCTATTTGACTCAGCACGCAGAGTAATCTTTCAAGAATATCAAGTCAAGTTTATCTCTTTTCTGCTCCAAGTCATCGAATAAGAAGGCTTCAGTATTATTATTCACTGGGGCTGGGGATTTAGCTCAGTGGCAAAGCGCCTGCCTGGCAAGCACAAGCTCGTGAGTTCCGTTCCCGGTACCGGAGGGGGAAAAAAAAAAAAAATTATTATTCATTAAAAAAATGCAAAGCAAATCCACACTGGATCTACCATATACCTACCAGCAGGTTACATTTTTTTTTTTTTTTTTTTTGGTCTTTTTTTGAGACAGGGTCTCCCTATGCAGTTCAGGCTGGCCTTGAGCTCACTTTGTAGCCCAGGCTGGTCTCGAACTCACAACGATCCTCCAGCCTCAGCCTCCCAAGTGCTGGGATTACATGCGT